CCCCCCCCCCCCACAAAAAAAAAAAAAACAATAAAAAAAACTTTTTTGTTTTTCTTTTTTTTAAACCGGATATTTGAGAACGGGATATTTGAGTTCGGTCTTGACGTGTCTTTCTCACCAGCGTTTCTCCTTTAAAAAGAAGTGCTTTCCCCTATTTCCAGCATCGAGCGACGCGCAGAGCAAACACAGATTTTGGAACCAATTCGGGTATCAAAGCGCGCTAAGTCAACGTAAACACGCAGTTGTCCGCACTTCCCCTACGAGCGCCACCGTATATTTAGATAGCTCAAACTTAAACGCAGTAATTTGTTTTTAGGCTTAAGTGTTGTGCGTGTCAAAAAATGATAAACGTTTTGCTAATCTCTGTAATGTGAAATTAGAGCGCAGCTCTTGAGGAGGAGGAGGGGAGGGTATGGAGGGGAGGGTATGTCCCTCCTCCTCCTCTTCTTCCTCCCCTCCTCCGTACCCTCCCCACCTCCTCCTTTGTATACCCTCCCTTACTCCATACCCTACCCTCCTCCCGCAGTTTCCTCGCTAAATTAAGCTGGAAAATTGACGCCACGTGACCTCTACACCAATTCAGTTTCCCCGCTATATTTAGCGGGGAAGATGACGTCAGATGACTTCGTGTCACGTTACCCATGAACAAATTTAGTTTCTCCGCTAAATTCAGCGCGAAAATTGACGTCGCGTGACATCAACACCATTTTAACTTCCCGCCATATTTAGCGGGGTGGTTACGCCTGCGGAGACGGAAACGGGCACGCTGCGCTCTAAAAAATGTATCGGAAATTGCCCTGAAATTGTGCTGCTAGCTGAAATGTTCTTGGTCTAGCGCTAGCAACCGCCAGGCATTTATTCCCTAGGTGTGTCTCCCCTGGTGCCTCCACTCCTTTCCACTTCATTGTCTTTCCCTCGGGTTGGCCTGTGTCTAAAGAGTATGAGGAATGTCGGGCTGCGGCCATTCACGTGTCAAAGTTCCCGCTAAATATGGCGCGTAAACCGAATTTATCTGTAGGTACCGTGACGTCATTTTTTCCGCAAAATCTAGAGGGGAAACTGAATTTGAACATAGGTCACGTGACATCGTGCCGCATGACGTCAATGTTTCCTCTAAATTTAGCGGGTAAACTAAATTTGTGCATGCCTCTGGTGACATGAAGTCATTTGACATTATTTTCCCCGCTAAATTTAGCGGGGATACTGAATTGGTGTTGAGGTCACGTGGCGTAAACTTTCCCGCTATATCTAGCGGGGAAACTGAAGTTGTGTGTAGGTCACGTGACACGAAGTCGTGTGACATCCTTTCCCCCGCTAAATTTAGCGTGAAAACTGAATCGGTGTTGAGGACACGTGATGTCGATTTTCCCGCTAAATCTAGCGGAGAAATGGAAGTCGCGTGACATCACAGGCCCACGGCCTGACGAATAGCGACTTTCTCGAAATGAGGTTTCAAAGAATCCGGCGCAACTATAGTCGGTTGCAAGCTAAGAAAAAACCGGAAATGCCTCTCAGAGGAAAATGTAATCCTACGCCGAGAAACGCCAGCCAATCGTTTTCATGACGTCACGATTCCGTGGACCAATCGCGATCCTTTTGAAAAAAAAAAAAGAAAAGCCCAACATGGCTGCTGCTGGCCTTAGCAACGCGACGCTAGTTTCTCGTGACAATTATTCTGCTTTTTTGCACCGTGTTTTACGTGCCCGAGGTTACGCCACGAAATCTTAATGGTATCGGCTTGCGTTTGCAGCAGTTTTTGCGCGACAACGTGAGAATCCAGCGACGCTATCGCCAACGAAAATTTCGAAGCGGGCGCGAGGCTTAGCACTGCTGAGAGGTATGTTAGACGGTATGTTAGACAGTATCTTGGACAGAAAATGAATTGGGAAGACGGTACATTGGACATGACTTTCTTTCTTTACTAAACAGCTATTTCGTTGACAAAAACGTATTCTAACTTATTTAAATGTCCTGAATGAATTAAATAAATATTGTAGTAGTCTAAGACACGTTTCCTGGAGGAAGAAAAAGCAACGTTGCTAGCGAACTATTTTCTCGACGGCAGACGCACTTCAGATGGGCGCAATGCGCTTGTGGGTGGAGCTAAAAGATTGTTCTTAGGTTGCATCCGACTATAGCAAAATAGTGTTTCACGTTAAAAAAGGCTCGTACTTGAGTATATATGGGTGAGAACTGAGGGAAAGAGGGGTCGAGAGCGTGCGGGGAGCTCGGAACACCGTACGTCGTACGGTGTTCTGATTCCGTACGCTCGAACACCGTACTCTCGAACAACGAGCGAAAAAAAAAAGGCAGCTAGATTTGCATCCATCTGCCAACCATTCCTGTCACAGCTCGGCGCTATGACGCCCCTGCGCGCTCGCATCTCCTCCTCTCCCTCACTTTCTACCCGCATAGGCATCGAACTCGGCCGCATTCTCGTTTCACCGAAGCCTTTCGGAAGCCGGGCAGCGGGGCTCGCAAAGCATGGGCCTCTATCGCAACTTTTAAGCGAATGCGACAAGGAAATCTTTCCAATACTTCTCCGCGCCGGTTTTGATATTGGCGGGCACGGTACCGGCGTTGCGATGCGTGATGCGCACTAGCGGTCATACCGCAGTAAGAAGCTCATTCCCTTTTCGCCGGAGATTACATCCGCTGTTTTAAGGCAAAAAAAAACTTCATTTTTTCCTATGACAGTTGTCTAAGAAAGAGAGAGAGAAAGACGAGAAAAAGAAAGCGAGAAAGTAGCGGCAGAAAGAGAGATAACCCACGCTGGTGTTCCTCATGTTTAGAGATAAAACATAAAATTTTCCCCAATAGCATTCTTGGATTCACGAAACCGTGTAGTTTATTTATTTTCCCAATTTATCTCGAACTATATACTTCGTCTCACTACAGTGTGTCTTACCTTAGCATGGACCGTGGCATGGACTATAGTTAGCCAAGCATGCTAAAAAGCGCGAGCCAGTGGTTTTGGATGAAGCCCCGGCGGATGCACGAGCGCTGGTGTAGCGAGTGCTCCGGTCAAGGCATTCCAGGCTGGCCCTCGCGCTTGCATAGCCATCCTAGCGAGTTCGTGCTAAGGTGAGACGAAGTATAAAGCAAATTTTTCGCGCGATAACAATAACGCTGCGGACGTGACAAAAAAAAAAAAAAAAAAATCCCGGAGAAGGAATAGAGTTTGGATGCTCTACAAATATTTCCCTCGCTCCTTCTGGAACTTTACTTTTCATTTGTCCCGTTCTATTGCAAATGTAAAGAAAACGCTTTCTTATCACGGGCAGGAGTTGCGGTGTCCCGATGTTTCACGAATGGGTGTAGTACATCACATTGGTGAAGCCTGTAAATGCGTCGGCGGCACGTTGCATTGCACATGTTGGGCCTCACAACTCGTTCGCTATAGACTCTGCACACATCCAGCAACGCAGTGCAGCAAAAATGGCGATTCCGCAGTGTTATAAAAACTAATTATCACATCCCACCTCACCTGTCACCCCTACGCAAAAAAATAAAAAAAGAACAAAGTCTTTAGGTTTAGGAGCAGTATAATATATGGCCGTCGTATTCCGACACTTTCGCAAGCACCGTTATTGAAAAAATGTGCGGGGCGATGTCGCCATGCTAATAAAATGATACTATCTTATCCGTGTCACAGCTGTCTCTTCCGTCTACATTTATTTATTTATGTGCTCAAAAACCGCAGTAGCACAGCACTTGTCGTACATCATACGAGAGATGGAGACATGATGTTAGAATTATCCACGGAAACACCTCAAGCGAGTTCAGAGCATGTTTGCTTGAGACATACGTGTGATTCGAACATGTCTCCAGACAGTTTTTGCATGACCAATATGTCAGGACCGCCATACAAGAAAGAAACACGCTTCAGATATGTCTGCAAAAGGTTTTTTGTATGGTGCATTCGCTCCGTGACTGCGGCTTACGGGCCCTGATTGAGAAGGGGGGGAGGGGGGAGGGCGGTAGGAGGACAACATATGATGAGTCGTGCAGCAGAACCAAAAAACGCACTTGAAAAACTGGAAACAATAACAAAACAAAAAAAGAAAACAGCACACTTTCGGCAGAAAAGTGTAAACAGAAAAAAAAAAACAAAAAAAACTACAGAGTATATTATTGTTGCACGTTGGACGGTAAGTTTTAATGTAGAGCCTAAAGCGCGAGACACATGCGCGAAAAATCCATCCGATCCGACGTCCGATCCGGCAGTACGACTGCCTAATCTGAAAAATTTGGTCGCTTCAGACGTCGGATCCGCGATCCGACATGCGTCCAACGCGCCAGATAGTTTCGCACGGCGGACGATTGTTGGATGCGTCCAGCCAATGAGAGCACAACGTCATGACGACGTACTGGGTCTGTCGGGACGAACAAGAAAACGGGACGGGCGCCGGGAAGCCGGACGCGTGGATCCCGCTGACCCATTCGAAAAAGATGGACCCGGCAAAGAATGCACGCGCTAACGAGAACGAGCTTCTAACTTTGCTCGTGTGAGCTAAACCGTCAATCTGGGACCAGAGATCTATGGACGCGAACTTCCGCTGGAGTGCTTGGATCTCCTGGGCGGAGCCCAACGGATCGTCGTGTTCGCATGCAAGGTCGGAAGCGTGTCTCTCAAACTGTCACGTGCGGCAATTCGGAGCGGCGTTCGGACTGTCGGATCGGACGTCGTATCGGACGATTCTGCCGTCCATGTGTCTCGCGCTTAACACCGTCGATGTTGCATTTTGTTTGCACGCGTGAAATACCGATGTGTGGTCTTAGGAACGAGAAATATTTGAGCTCTTTTTCGTTGAGGTTTTGCTCGAATTACAATGACAGTTATATTCTAACGTGCCAAAATTGCGCCCAATGCAAGAATTAAAAGAGTATCGAAAACATGGAAGACTGATTGCCGTTCTTCCACAGTTACGACTGCAGAAATAGATTCAAATGTGAATATATAACTCGCGTACTGATGCAAGCACCCTTTGTCTTTGCAGTGAAATCAAGGGCCTGGGATCATCTCACCGTGAGTAATGCTCTCGTGTATTTTTTATAGGTAGCAGATTATTGTTCCCATCTCGATGAATTTGGGATTGAGTCCCAGCCTTCTTCTGACTAAGCCTCGCTGAGAAACATCATTCGTGCTTGTGTTCTCCCGCAGACTATTTATTCTTCATGACGAAGTGGCCAGGGTCAAAGCATCACACCTATATGGTTCATTTTGAGCTTAGAGCAAATCATGCTTGGCGTCGATTGATTCAAAAAGCCCCACTTGCAACTCAAGAAAGAAGAAAATACGACTTGGTGGGGACGTTTACGAGATTTCGTACAATAGGTCAGTTACCGTTTTCTTTTTCTTATTTAGCGTAGTCGTACTTTTTGACGTGTTTATTTGATTGTTTTATGGGACTTTTTTTTTTGGGGGGGGGGGGGGGAGAGGGGAGGGGGATCAATAAAAATGGAAATTGGTGTTTAAGGACCTGAGCCACTGTTGTCGTTGCAATAATGTTGTGAAAGTGCTAAGCGTCTTTTGATGAGCGCAATTCTGCGTGTAAGAAGGCTTCTGTAATCTAATCCCTACGGCATTTCACTATTACATCACAGAAATAAAATCTAGCTTGGAAACAATCGTTGTGAGCCATCGATAGTACTTGAACATTTAGAAATATCTCGCGGAAACTCCACATTTCGAAGTCGATAGCTCTCGAGCTTCAATGCGACTGCCTTCCCTTAGCTCAAGAGACGACTCCATGTTTTTTTTTTATTTTGGCATCATACTTTCGCAATTACTCAGTTTTAATTTCCTGCGAAGAAAAAAAAAAAAAGAAAAAAAAAAGTCGCCATGGCAGTTTCCGTTCAATACGAAAAAAGATATGTAGTGTACACTGTATAGCAACGTAATGTACTGGCGAGGAGATAGAGCTTTGGGGCCTACAGAGCTCGGTATTTGTCCAACACGAGACCCGTGGATTCCTTTCGTTCTGTATGCCTCGATCGAGCGCTGGGCGCTGATTACACAGCAGGTCGAGTTGAACGCTGCGTTAGAAAGGTAAAATTTATGCTCATTGCCCACCACAGCTGAACTAAACCGCTGGAGGCGTTGCTGTCTGTTTTAATATCATGCTCAATACCGAACGACTGGTTCAGTGAACCACGCGGCATAAGAAGCTAATCAATCAATTCATACAATGGTGACTGACAACATGAGTAGCGCAGAGTGAATGTGATTGGTTCTTCAATTCAGGCTTCCCGCTTTGTGAATGGTCATTCGGCGGTTTGGTCGGCCAGTGCCGCAATCCTATTGGCTGCGGCGGTATAATGAGATGCGAGGGACACGCCGCGCCCTACGTTTCTTAAGCCGTCCCTGACTATAAAAGTCTCGAGCACAAACAAACAAACCAACAAGCCGACAACTGGACAGACATTAAATTAGATCATGCAAAAATAGTTGCTCCCTATTTTCGAAAAATAACCGCGCGAAGGAAGCCACGGCGTGAACATATTAATATATATCTTTAAACTAGAGCCTGATCAAAACCAAATTCATGTCACGCGAATTTTTGTTTTTCCGATTTCGCAGTTGCGGCGTTAAACAAGCGCAGCCGAATGGTACGTTTACATTTGAGAATAAATCCGTTGCCGCTGGAGCGAATTCGCTCCAGCGGATTCTAATTCACTTCCGGTCAGCGAAACGCCTCGCTCGGCGGCAAAAATATGTCCTGGACCAATACGGTTCGTCGCCGCGTTTTCCACCCAGCGTTTCGCCCTAGTGGCGAAAGCTGGGTGGACTTGCTAGCGGATCCGCCAGTGTAAATGTACCATTGAACAAGCTCTTTTTGCCGCACGAGTGACGTCGCAACTGCGAAACGGCAAGTAAAACTGCACCGCGTGAATCTGGCGATTTTTCTTGCGATTTCGCGGCTGGGACGCTGCTCGTGTGGCAAAATAAAAATAGTAATGATAAAAAAAAAAAACCTGGAGGAAATTGCGGTATTTGACGTCGCATCTGAGAATTCGAAAGTAAAAGTCGCATCATATATAAATCGGACTAGAGGACTTTTTTTTTTTTATTTCTCTGCGTTTATATTCCTTCGTCGGGCTCGCTTTCTTGAAGTGTGGGGGGGGAGGGGGAGGGGGGGGGGAAGCAAAGAATTACAGAATTTTGCTTGGGTTTCTTTTTGTGCACATATATGTTGGAATAAGAAGGTTGGGGGTTTGATGGGCAGCTCCGAACTTCTTAACAGCAAACCGTGCGACCGCGCACAACGCTCTTTTTACCCTTAAGCTGTCAGTGCGGCGAGAACTGCGCGCTCGCCGGACTAATTAACTTTCGTAACGACCCGCTTGCTACGCGTGGATATAGACGTTTGCAAGTAGCCGCGCTTCGAGAGCTAGTCGGGCCACCGTGGTTGGAAAACGCTTCGTTTTGGGTGCCAGTCTGCGAACACTGGGTACTCTCACCAAGGCTTGACTATCAGACGACCTACACACACCAGCAGCAAGATGGTGGCGCACAGAGGACGTACTTGCAAACGTATATAAGCGGGAGCGTGCACCATGTGACGAAAGACGTACGAATAGTTCCACGAGCACGTAGCTTCCACCGCAGTGTCACCTTAGGAGTGAGTGATGTACGGCTCGTTAATATGAACTCCGTTGATACGAACACTCTTATAATTGACACAAGTTTCGGGGACAAACTTCGTAAATACGGGACTCCTTGTCTCGTTATTACAGACGATTTACATAATGAGCACGGAACGGAGGGGACAAGCGGTCGTGTTGTCGAACCGGGCGCATCTTTTCCGGCCGTCGTGGAAATGGGTCGTCGTCAGGTCGTTCCTGAGGTCATTAGAATAGGCGGTGCGTGGCGAAACAATCGATCCGTGGGACGCGTGACCGCAGCATACCCATGCACGCTCTTGCCTCGCTGTGCGCACTCCACTCGTGTTCAAACCGGTCACCGCTACGCGAATCGCCAATTTAGTCGATCGTATACGATTGGCGGCTGAAATCAGATTCATAAGAGCTTTGATGAGACGCTCAAAACTGTACAGATCCTTCTTAAAAGTCAGTGCCATCTGGTGGCTCAAAAAGCATTTTAACTTTCGACACACTAATGGCGGTCATGAAACTGTTTTTGATCGGGCACCGTCACTTTCGCGCATCAGTGGCAGAGGAGAATATGCGCTTTGATCACATTATAATTATTTCATGGTTTGTCTAAATATAGATGGTGTGAACATAATAACTGACCAATAAGCCCCTTAAACACTTTTTCGCCATCAAAAAAGGCTTTGGAGCCAAACTTGTGCCAAGAAATTTATTGAACCACACGGGATAATAAACGCTTGCGCAGCAATTTCATCTAATCCGTACGTCGTGTGGTACTAATGACTCGAACGTACAGGCCTGATATGTCCTCCACGTGGTGTTGTCATGAACTTCTTTCACCATCTTCAAGAAGGCCGCTATTAATTTGGCCGGAGGACTCCAATAAAAGCTTATATAGGAGGCTCTTGTTTAGCTGGTATGTCATACGCTGAGCTATAGGGTGTACTAGAAGTTAGAACTGGGAGGTTTGCCGCTGACCGCATCGGCATCTTCAAAGGAGGTGGGTGTCGAGTGGCTGAACTCTGCCGCAGGGGCCAGGGGTGGCGCTGCCAGTCAAAGTGGGGCAAGGAGGCGCGGTCAGGAAGCGTTTAGCGAGGTTGGCTTGGGGGTGTGTTGGTGTGACAATGTTTTTTCTTGTTTAGCGTTGTGTGTGAAGCGATGAAGTACTGTGTGTCGGGGGGGGGGGGGGGGGGGGGGGGGCTAGCTAGCTGTGCCGAAGAGACAAGGGACTCACATCGGTGTCAAATATGGCGAAGAAAAAGACTAAGCGGTGCTGTTTTCTGCGGGCGGGGGGGGGGGGGGGGGGGGGGGGCGGCGGGGACGTGGGTTTTAACAAATGCAAAACAAAACGCTCCTTGCTTCGGACCTCCCTGCTCGCAGAATAAAATCGTCTAATTCCACGTGAAAAAAAAAAAAAAAAACTGATGAAGAGAAAAAATAAGTAAGTCTAAAAAGAATGGGTGACCTGCCTGAAATGTCAGAGAAATCAAACTTCTCCAAGTGGAATTGCACTTCAATAAAGACGCCAGTTGAAGTTGCTCCAATTGTCTTGTTCGGTGTCTGTGTTTATTTTAATATGATGCATGCTCATTAGAAAAAATCAATTAAGACATTTCCTGGTCTATAAGTTTTGGCTGAGAATGCAGAAATAAAAAAAGCTCGCTTTTATTAATCCATGCTACACAAGAACAGACGTATTAACACCGGATCAACGACTTCAAACAAAAACAAAAAATCTTCGAGTGGATCTTTCATTTTTTCATTTGTTCTCGATAGTTATACAGGAATAACCCTTTCTGTAGCAGCTGAATAGCGAGAGTCCTGTCGCAATGCGGCACTTTTCCCTTCCCATAAAAGCGTTTTCTCCTTCATCCCTCCTTAAAGTCTCTTTTTTCTTAACTCTCCGCTGCCATTTTTTGATGACCGTTTCGTAATCCCTTGGATAAACACGAAGCCGACGCGTCTGGGTTGGTTGAGCAGATAAGTTTTTCGTGGATTCTCGAACTTATTTTTGAAACGTTTGCACCAATTTTTTTCCTCCCCTACCGATACGTGCATACGCAAAATATTGCGACCTACCATGGTCGAGGACGCACAAGAAGGTGATATGAGAACCTCGAAATGAAGACGAGGCGGCAGAGAGTCAATATTTGCCAAGCTCCTGGCGAACGTGCCGGGTTTGAAGCATCACTGCTCGCGAATATAATCGAATAGCCCCCTCGCCTTGCAAATCGCGAGCGCTCGGATATTTCCATCGTCGACCGTCCGGTCTCGGCGACTGAGCGCAGGGCGAGCGCACAGTAGCAAACGGAGCTGCACGCTGCCAGCGCTTACGCTGCTGTATACTCACCGACGCCTCGACGATTAGCATATGTGAAGAGTTCAAAAACCAGGGGCTCGGCTGCAAAGCGA